TTTAACACGCATGTACCCACGATTCAAGCTGTCTTTCCTGGGTTATGAAGTGCTGTGAAGCAGCCTGTTCTCTGGGTACAGTCTGGGTGCAAGAGCCATGTGCTGCATGGAGCTCTCTGGGTCTCTGTGAGTCTCACACCCTGCTTCTTCTATTTTCAGGCTCCTCTCCACATTTGTCCCCCTAAAAATGATTTTTTATTATTATTTTTGCTTTTAAATGATTTATTTCATCATTAATATGGTTCCCTAACACAATGCACGTAGTCTGGAGCTCACTGGGGTCCTGCATATGCTTTAATCAGGCGTTTTAACACTTTTTTCCATGAAAATTATTTGTATTCACTATCATGGGGCTATATAAATCAAATTCCGGGTAATGCGGAGCAAAATTGTACCTTTTACTATTTAAATGTATTTGTATTATATATTTTTGGGCTAGAAAAGTGACATTTCTGGGTGACTTTGTCAGTTTATGGAGCTTAGCCCACAAATCCTGGAGGTTCCAGGCCAAATTTGGAAGTTCATAGGCGACCTGCCATGCGCCCCCACCCATGGAAAGAAGAAAAAAGTAAAGAAAACGGTCAATTATATCTTAAAATAATCAAAAATTAAGTTTTAAAAAATTCTCAAAAAAACGACTGAGTGCCAACGGAGAAGTGGCTCAAAAAAGCTCAACCTGTCGGCGCTTCGGGCCGAAGCCCCGGATACTTTTCTACTTCTCCGTTGCAACTTACAATGGAGAGGGGAAACCAAGCCTCACCTTCTCCGTCAAAAAAATTCATTCATCAATTTCAGACTACTGTCTGCACGAAATCGGAAACCCGGTTTTTGAGAGGACTCAGAAAAAAAACGGGTGTCTGATTTCATGGAGGAATTCATCCGCTCCATGTGCACTCTGGCTCGGATGAATTTGTTGCCTGGAGACCCCCCAGCCTGGTTCTTACCAAACTTTAAGTTTGCAAACTGGTGTCTGGATGAATGTCCCCCCATTCATCCACAGTCAGAAAAAAGTCTGAGTTAACTTTTGACAGGGGACTCTACCCGCATTATGAGGCACTATTTTCAGATACATTTGATCTCTTTTAGCCCTTTCTTATGGTTCTCCAAAAAGTTAACTCAGACTTTTTCTGACTCTGGAGGAATGCAAGGGGAGTTGTCAGGGGACTCTACTCGCATTATGAGGCACTATTTTCGGATACTTTTTTTCATTTTTATGCATTTTTGTATGGATACATTTGAATTTCTTTTTTCACTTTTTGCTCATTTTGACCAAGTTCTGGTTACCATGTTTTCTGGAGGATAGGACTGAGAGATGACAGACTCTCTACCCGGGTCACAAGTCACTATTTTCGGATACTTTTTTTCATTTTCATGCATTTTTGTATGGATGAATTTGAATTTGTTTTTCCCTTTTTGCTCATTTTGACCAACTTCTGGTTACCATGTTGTCTGGAGGATAGCACCGAGAGATGACATACTCTCTATCCGGGTTACAAGTCACTATTTTCGGATACTTTTTTTAATTTTCATGCATTTTTGTATGGATGAATTTGAATTTTTTGTTCTCTTTTTGCTCATTTTGACCAAGTTCTGGTTGCCGCGTTGTCCGGAGGATAGGACCGAGAGATGACAGACTCTCGGCCGCCTCACCAGTCACTATTGTCGGACCCTTTCTTTGCTTTACCCCCGGTATGGATCAACTCTCCTCTATCTTCTTCCCCAGCCCCCCGGTCCTCCCTACTGACGCCCGGTTACGGGTCAGTTTGTGACTCATTTGCTGGGTGAGTAACATGAATTGATGGCTCGGATATGAGTCTGTAGGCCTGGTTCTTCGGGGCACTCATAAGCAAAGTCATGCATGCAAGTTGTCTGAGATAGGGTGCAATCTGCTGGTTTTTTGATTCCCGTGTTGCTCTTGAAGCCTGTATGGATCAACTCTCCTCTATCTTCTTCCCCAGCCCCCCGGTCCTCCCTACTGACGCCCGGTTACGGGTCAGTTTGTGACTCATTTGCTGGGTGAGTAACATGAATGGATGCCTCGGATATGAGTGTCGGCCTGGTACTTCGGGGCACTCTATAGCTCAGTGTTGGTATTGGAGTCGGAGCCCCCCTTCTTCGGGTAAATATCATTTACCCAGCAGTGTTGAACGCAGATGGAGCCTCCCATCTCCCAAAAAAGCGTACCTTTCAATCGATTTCAATCTGCTTGTGTCTCCACAGGCTTGATTGATTGACTTCCAAGATGCGGTCCAAGATGATGCCAGAATGCCCGCTGTGTCACCTGAAATACTGCGCTCTCCCAAGACACTTGGTGTTCCGCCACCTAGTCCTCAACAAAACTGAACGCAGCATTCTCCCCCACGCATGGCCAATGGAAGAATAAACATTTGCCTGGAGCCCTGCTCTGTTGTTGGTTATGCATACCATGGCACCAGGCTGGACCGGCATCTCGATATTGACCACCCGGAACTCAGCCAACAAGAAACAGACTTGTCACTGCAAGAAGTGAAACGCAAGGTGGGGCTTAAAATGCTGAGGGAGCTCCGGGAGGCCGACCCCCCAGTACACATGATAACGACACTGGATGTGGAATATGGTGCTGATGATGAACACCCAGACTCCTTTTCCGGGGAAGTTGACCTCGAAGCCGATGAGCGAACAACAATCAGACTGTTAGGGCTGGAAAACGTCGCACAAAAGGAGGCCCTCAATAAAGAGGTGTGTTTTGTAAAAAAGAAGCTGAAGCACTTTAAGGCTTCCAGTGCCAAGAGGGACATCCGCTGCTCCGGCATAAGGTCCTCAGGCAGATACACCCCCTTGGTTGAACTCGGCAGGCCTCAATCGAAAGACGCTGGTGATGAGGAGTCTAGGGGCGAAGGATTACGGAGACCGATGTCAGCCCCCCCCAGTGTAAACCAACTAGACTTGTCTCGGCGGCGAGCAACCATGCCGAGTTCCTCGCGGGTGAAGTGCAAATCCAAGAAGAAACACACATCACATGAGCATGGTGCCATCTCTAAGACGGCCCGTGATAAGGGTCAGGGTGGTGTGGGAACCAGGCGGAAATCAGCGACACCACGTCCAACAGGCAGAAGCAATCCAGCCGCAACAGGCAGATATACCCCTGGATTGCTCGAAGCTATGGAGGACACCTCTGTGAACGCCATAGGGGCCAAAGTGGCCCCTAGTGATGAGCTGCAGGGGGACTGCGAGGACTCGGATGACCAGGCCATGGCTGACGTGGATGAACCGGAGATGGCAATTGAAGTCACGGAGCTCCTCATGGGTCAAAAGCAACCCAGCATCCCAACTTTCTCCGGCATCATGGCTCCAGTGACACAGCCCACGCTCAGGATCAACCGCCTACACAGTAGCAAGTTAAATGCTGCGGCCATTCGCAGTGCGCAAGCATCCTCCACCACCACCCCTGTACTGCTCCGGAAAACCATAGCTCGCCGCGCTAAACGGGCACTGGCCCCTGTGGCTGGGAAAACGTCACCCACACTTCCCAGGCCCTCTGGTTGTGGGCTGGCGAATACAATGTGGCACACAACCCTTCTACCCAGCATGGACATGACAGAGTACCGGGACTACAACGCGGGGATTGATCCAGACACAAAGTTGTCAGAAAATGTGCAGCCAAAGGTAAGCCGGGTCAAGCTTTTTCTATTATTTATGGGGCGAGACTCTCCCCGTCTGTCAGACTGGCTGTTCCTGAAGGACACTTCAAAGATCCGTGCCTGGGCACATGACCTCAGAGAAACCAGCAACCTTGCCGTCATAACTGTTGCCTTTTATATAAAAAATATACTGCAGTTTATTCGATACCTGATGGACTCACATGCACTGCACATGTAACTGTTACCCATTCCAGTTTTTACTAATTATCTGAATCTTTCCAGGTGAAGAGATACCAGGACCCATCAAACCGGTACTACGCCAGCAACCCGGGGGTTAAGGAGGCCTTGGGCATCAGACACATGTTTACTGATTCGATTGCCCAGGCGACCATGGATGCACAAGCCGAGGCCGGGATAGAACCTGAAGCAGCAGGTCCCTCCGCTGCCCCAGCTCCAGAGCCAGAGCCAAAGGCAAAGCGAAAGACATCCTCCGCTCCAGCACAGCCTAAGGCAGGGCGAGCTCCAGCCCATTGTCCCGAGTTCAGCAGCAGCGATGATGAATTAATTCTGGTTTACCATGATACCACCAGTGATCCCTCGGAGGATGAAGCCGATGCAGAGTTCCAGGCTGGGTTGCTGGAGCGGGCGAATAAACGGGAGAAAGAACCGAATGAGACTCTCCTCGATTCTGCTGACGATGACAGTGACAGTTCCTTAGAGTCTAAGGCCAGGATTGAGCCTGCTCCCCTTGCACGGTGTGGCAACCATGTATTTGACGAAATGTGCCAGATTCTTAATGTAAAAGTCAGGGTCAACTTTATTAGGCTCCGGGACCAGCTGTTGGCAAAAGAAAACGCATCAGTACATCGAGCTTCAATGTGGAGAACACACACAATGATGCTGACATTGTGGACAGTAATTGATTTTACTCACCCACATATCCTCTTCAAATCCCGGAGAAACAGCCAGTCAGACAGATGGTTGACACCGTGTCCCATGAAACAGAGGAAGGATTTCACTCTGCTGACCTTGGACAGTACGTTTTCTCATTGCCTCACTGTAGGGTCGATGCCCTCATGATGCTCCCTGTAGCTTTGCAGGTATTCCTCTGTGAAACCTAATACAGTACTTTAATGGCAACACATTGTGTGTTACATAAAGTGCATTTGTGACATATTCAACACCCTTACCCATGACGCGTGGGAGCGTTATGTCCCGCATTATATTCCCCCGTCCGCTGCCGCTGAACCAGGGGGAATATTTGGGTGGGGAAGTTGTCAAGGCCTTGTTACCTCTGGATGCAGGTATTTTGCCGCTGGATACAGGGGTCCTGATGGCAACAGGTGTCGGTGTCTGTCCGTGAGACTGAGAGGTATTGCTGCAGGAGGCAATGGGGGACTCGCTGCAGGAGGCAATGGGGGACTTGCTGCAGGAGGGAATGGGGGACTTGCTGCAGGAGGGACTTTGGGTTGCCTGTTTCTTGGACCGTCTCTTTTTGGTTGGCTCTGTTCGGGGTCGTTTCTTGATAAACACCCATTCTTGTTCCTCCCCCTCCTCCACCTCGGACCCATATATTTCCTCGGCCCTCTGCTGCCTCCTCTGTAACTTCCTCTGTCGCTTCCTCTTAACACTAGAACCGCCAACGGGTACATTTTACCCGCAGCTGTTTTTTGATTGTATGTAACTTTTGTTCAATAACATATTAAAGTCTCCCAGTCCGTGACTTTTCCTGAAAGTGTGTTATGTAGCACCTTCTGTTGTTAACAATTGTCAATATGAAGTCAGATTGAAAAATGCCATTTATACCTATATCCGCCAGCGGGTAATATTTACCTCATAGAAAATGCAGCGTAAACATGACGTGTTGCTATAGCAACGCCTTTTGTCTACTGCGGTTCCTTATAGATAGAGAGATAGATTGAGAGAGAGAAATAGATAGATAGATAGATATATTGATATATGGATAGAGAGAGAGAGAGATAGACAGATAGATAGTTGTAGATAGTGTAACATCGTGGAGAATACAAGATCTTGGATGACTGAGCTCACGTTGAGGACGTAATGCATGTGTGCAGGTTACGTGCCAGTTGAATAAAGATGGACACTCGGAATGAGAGAAGTAGTCCGCGTCGTCTATTTATGTAGACAATTATATGTTCATAGAACAGAACATTACAGATATATCGATAGAGAGAGATAGAGAG